GCCCGACTGGAGTATCCAGTACTGCTGGGGAACTCATCGCCCAACTGGAGGCTCCAGTACTGCTGGGGACCTCATCGCCCGACTGGAGGCTCCAGTACTGCTGGGGGAGTCAACGCCCGACTGGAGTCTCCAGTACTGCTGGGGAAGTCATCGCCCGACTGGAGGCTCCAGTACTGCTGGGGGAGTCAACGCCCGACTGGAGTCTCCAGTACTGCTGGGGAAGTCATCGCCCGACTGGAGTCTCCAGTACTGCTGGGGAAGTCAACGCCCGACTGGAGTCTCCAGTACTGCTGGGGAAGTCATCGCCCGACTAGAGGCTCCAGTACTGCTGGGGAAGTCATCGCCCGACTGGAGTCACCAGTACTGCTGGGGACCTCATCGCCCGACTAGAGGCTCCAGTACTGCTAGGGACCTCATCGCCCGACTGGAGTCTCCAGTACTGCTGGGGAAGTCATCGCCCGACTGAGACTCCAGTACTGCTGGGGAAGTCATCGCCCGACTGGAGTCACCAGTACTGCTGGGGACCTCATCGCCCGACTAGAGGCTCCAGTACTGCTGGGGAAGTCATCGCCCGACTGGAGTCTCCAGTACTGCTGGGGAAGTCATCGCCCGACTGGAGTCTCCAGTACTGCTGGGGAAGTCATCGCCCGACTGGAGTTTCCAGTACTGCTGGGGAAAACATCGCCCGACTGGAGTCTCCAGTACTGCTGGGGAAAACATCGCCCGACTGGAGTCTCCAGTACTGCTGGGGAAAACATCGCCCGACTGGAGTCTCCAGTACTGATTCGATCCCAGGTTGTAGTGGTAGAAAATGGCCGCTTTATTCCATTGCTCCACTCCCCCCAAACATGCGGTAAATAAATAGAATTAAAAATATCAATAATTAAAATGGTCTATTGTATGTTCTATACAATATTGTATTACTTTCAGTTACTTGTATTACCATCAGTAAACAATAAATAAGATAAAAGATAAGAACGGGTTTGAAAGAATATAGGAAAAACAAACTTGACTGACAAACAAGCTCTTGATTTCTTCTTCGCGGTACGTCAATTCTTGACAGTTCGAAATGACATTGTTTATTGAGAATTAGACAATTTTTAGTCTTCTTATAAAGTGCCCCACAATATTTCAATTTAAAACTCAAATTTAAACGTTATTTTTTTAAATTCCCACCACTCATATATCTCTCACAGTTATATAATGTAGACCCGCGGAAAAGAGAGAAAAAAAAGAAAAATCGAATTTCTTTCCTTTAAATAATTAGAATAAAAGTCATTCCACCCGGGGTTTTCTCCCCATTTTCTCATTCGGTGAATCATTTACACGCCACCAGATCCTGTGAATTAAGGGGAACTCACTTCAAGCTTTGTTACCCCCCATCGTGGAACAAAATTGTATTCGCTAACACGGCTCTTTTTACACATAGCATTCTCCAACTTTTTCTATGTCTTGTACAGCTTTTTTTTATTTTGGTAAATGGTAATCTTGGGATTTGTTCGTTGAAATATACTTAGTTTTGTTGGAAGAGACCAAAGGTAGACGTGACGAGTTGCTTTATTTAAAAAGTCTGCGAAATTTCGGACAATGATGTCCTTCAAAAGGCCATTAGGTGAATGCAAGAAACTAGAGAAGATTAAGGACAAAGGACATTATTGTACGAAAGTTCGCAACCTTTTTAAATAAAGCAACTCGTCACGTCTACATTTGGTCTCTTCCAACAATGGGATCCTTCGAATCCTTCTGCTGTAATACTTAGTTTTATTCCTATCACCGTTTTGTTATTCTACACCCTGAGTAGAAACGGAATAAAACTCTCTGATATAATCAGGAGAACTTTCTGTAATTCGACCAAGCTGAGAGAGCTTTCGAGACAAATGTCTTCTTCATGGCAACGATAAAACCGCTCTTACGATCTACATAAGTTGTATATTTCTTAATTGTATTTTGCTACTCTTTATATTTCCCCGTTTACCTTTCTGTGGTTATTTTATAAATAATAATTTTGTTTTACCATATAAATAAATTGTCATTCTGAGATTTGTCTTTCCAAAATTTCCACGTTACAATATTACCAAAAGGTTTAAGAAAGGGTAAAAGATTAATGTTTATTTTACCAACACAAGCTTTCGAACCACGCGGTTCTTCCACAGGTGAAAACTTATCTCAAAAATTTAAATATCTCATCCATCTGTTGAGACGTATTTATAAAGCGGAGTAAGAACTGTTTGACTATATGTAATTAGGGTCGTGAAGAAGATCCTTCCGGCTTGAAAGTTTGCTCGGTTTTTATGGAAATAAGGAAACAGACGCATCGCTATAAGTTTGTGTTTTCTCTCCATTTTTATATTTTGAGAATGCTAAAAAAACTTGATTATCTTTACAAAAATAAATATGGGCAGTTACTACGTTTAGCCTCATTGTTTATCTCTCGCCAGCCAATCAATCAGAAACGAGCGTTTTACATATATAGGGACGTGGCGAGCGAGTTGGGAAAGGATAAAAAACGGCAAGACATCTTCCTAACTCCCATAGTTTTAAAATCGAGCAGTTAATATTTTTCCCAAATAGCGGCCTATACAATGTGAGGGACCATAGAGGCATGTTTACCACAATTCTGAATGCTCATACTGAGAAAGAACAACTGTTTTCTGCAATAAATGTCTTATTTTGAATAGTTCTTGGATGTAAGCCTTTAGTCTGATGACTCTTTCGACCAACAACAAAATATGGATTCGATTTTACTGATATTTCTCCGAAAAAAGACCAAATATTTATCTTAGGTTAGGAGAAATTGTAACATAAGTCGATCTTTGGCTGCTTCAAAGAAATTTTCAGCAAGCTTAAAGTATCTTTTTTTTTTTTATGGAGGAAGAGGGGGGGGGGGGAGAGAAAAGCGTGAGGAATTCCGAAATTTGACAACTAATATTCTAAAAAATACACATATTGAAGAAAAAACGAGTTATTTCTTTAATAAAAACATTAATTTAACCAACTCTTAATAATTTACAATCTCCATAGAGTCAGTTAGAAGGGGGTGAGATAAGAAAGAAATCTCTACCGAATCACTTTCCCAATATCCATCTAAACCACTTTGCATATAAGTCTTAAGTGCGTATAAACGTAAAAACAAAACTTTCTACCATCGTAGACGGCACACGTAGAGCTCACGTCTAATACTTATCACGACAAAATATTTAAGATGACGATCACAGATCAAAGAAAAAATACTTAAAAACACATGCCTTTAGAAGGACTATAAAATTCCGGAAGCTCGCCATACAAATAAAGAAACGCATTGCTGAAGTTTTATTTTATTATATATTTTTCTATTTAAAAATCACTACACCTTGGTTCCATAATGCCGGTCCGAGACCGCTAAGCACCTAAACCCTGGTATGTATTATGTATATAGAGTGTGTATATGTAAATAGAGTGTATATATGTATATATAGTGTATATATGTATATAGAGAACAAGTCAAAATGCAACTTACCATTTTGTTATCGAAGAAGGAGGATGCTCTTCACCCAAGGAATACTTCGCAGAGTGGTAGGCTCCTGAAATACACACCAAAAGATGCAATTAAAAACACATCTTAATCTCATGATGTAAAGTTAAATGGTTTCAAAACTGACTGGATTATAACAATTTTACCTATTTATCAATACACCCATAGACAAAAATTAAGGAAGTAGAAAATATTTTGGGTCGCAGGTCATCTTTTTTTTTTTTTAGGAAACAGAGGCTGTTCACACTTGGTTATCTCGTGTGTCTTCAATAAAGGTCAGTGTGTATCAAATATATTTAGTGCCTGAATCCCGATATACATGCTAAAAGGTACAACTTCCTTAAGTTTTTCCAATGAGTTTATATTTATATTTGATTATAAATATAGATAATTATTTGAATATATATAACCCAATATTAAGACAAAAAAGAACATTTCCTGACCGCTCACATGATCATTCTACATGGCAGAGCGCCATCTAGCGGAACAAACACTAAACGTTGATTTTGGTTTGTTCCATGCTCCAACCCATTTCATGATCAAACAAGGAAAGCCAACCACGAACGCGTTTCGGGCTTTTGGCCCTCGACAGCGTAGTTTTTCTTTTTCACATATAACCTAATAAGTATTTCCTTTATTCTACTTTTGAAGATATGTAAATAGGCGGGCATGACTTTTCAAATATCAAATTTGTATTATTATTTACATATACATGTATATATTCATATATTTTTCACTTTTATATTAATCTCTTATTTAAAATAAGGTTTATTTTGGATTTAAAAAGTTTTATTTATCCAATTTTTCGATTGGTCCATCCATTGGACGATATCGCCCAACAAGCTTGTAAGACTCCGTGGCTCACCTGAAGCACGCCACCTGCTGTGTTCTTCATAACAAAAACCTCGTAAAAGATGGACGATTGGTCCATCGAAATATTGAATAAATAAAACTTTTTAAGTCAAAAAATAAGCCTTATTTTAAATATTTATATTATGGATGGCTCTATATTTAGAATTAATCTCTTAATTTTATAACTTTCCAAAGAGAATCGTATGAGAGACTAAAATAGTTTGATAAATATTTTACCAATCTGTTTATGAGCTTAATGGATCTTAATTAAGTTTTTCTATAAATACATTTCATTATTATCATTAAATGTAATTAACCTTTATTTTATTATTTTCCATTTGCAGACTCCGTGGTAAATCCATGGATAAGACTTATGTGTAGAAGTGTGATTGATATATGGAAGAAACATGCGCGTCTTGATGTTGTCATTTGCTGTATATAGGTGGCGGGTTATTGTTTGATATAAGACTCGATGTCTTAACACAATACAATATAATGCGGTTTGTGATTGTAAAACGACATTTGAAAATTATCCCGCATGAGTTTCTTTTCAACGAAAAATCAAAATTTATTTTAAGGAGAAATAACTATTATTTCTAACCTTAGGGATGAGGTATGAAAGGATGAATTGTGAAGAGTAATGATAAACCTAGTGGACATGGCATCTGCCCAGTAAGCGGAACACTGTGGGTTCGATTCCCATCCCTGGATACTTTTATTTTTCCGTTTATCATTACTCTTTACAATTCATCCTTTCATACTTCATCCCTAAGGTTAGAAATAATCGTTATTTCTCCTTAAAATAAATTTTAATTTTTCGTTGAAAAGAAACACATGCGGGATAATTTACAAATGTCGTTTTACTATATGTCTTAATAAAGGTTTGTGTATGATAAAGGTTTTAATAGAATGGAAAACCACATCTTGATTGGGACAATTCTCGAGTATTCAGAGGCTAATATATTGATATCCATTTATATGATATTTGGAATCTTATCATTTTAAGGAGAAAATCTTTAAAGAAAAAAAAAACCTGTAAAAAAATATCAAACGTACGACTATATATAGAAGAATCCAAATGTCAATTTAAATAACCATATGGATAATTTATTATAGATTATAATAATTTATATTTATTGTTGGCATAATATTTCATCTCTCTCAACACATATTATTAAGATTATATAATATGATGCACTAGCGGGCCATCTGTTATCAAAATTCAAAACTATTTTAAAGGCGTAAGATTCTTTTTGATGTTAAACAATTTCTACTGCCCTTACTGCAATGGAAAAATTAATGAGAGGGCCTGGCTCATCAGTGGTGAACCCTCTCAGCGGTTTCGCCAGTTTAATATACCATACCGCTGTTATATTGCATTTTTTAAAGATTATATAAAAGGGCGTACCTGTATCTGTAAAGATAAACAAAAACAATTTTGTTCTCAAAATATTTCGAGAGATTGCTCCCTCTTTATAAATTTATTGTACACTTGATAAAGAGGGAGCAATCTCTCGGAATATTTTGAGAAAGAAAAATGTTTTTGTTTATCTTTACAGATCCAGGTACGCCCTTTTATATAATCTTAATTAATGGTTCGCCTTTTGACTCAAACAAGATATTATTAATTCAGATATTTTGTTAATCATCATACTGCCACGTGGGAAATTAGGAAAGACAAACTTCAGGATCACACAGTACTTTATTTTGGGCAAGAACAAACTATGAATGATAAAACAAAAGATAAGCAATGAAGTAAGTTTATAGAATAGCAAAATATAACCATCAAAAATGATACTCTGCTAATAAAATAATAAATACTTTGCTACAATAGTATTCTTATTGTATCTCTTATTTGTTAAGTTGGCAATTGGTTTGATTAAAATAAATTGATTCTCCTCATTTTTCTACGTGGCATTTTGATGGAAATGCTGGGTAGTTTAGGACAGACAAACTGAAATTGCCGAGCAGACCTTGAAGCCATGGGTACTGTGATCTACAATTTCCGCGACTGACTCCAGGATTCCACCGCCGTGTCAAAGACTTCTCTCCAAGAAGACGGTGCCCCTATAGACGCTATGACGACAAAACGGTTCTTCACGCGGTAAAAAAGGACGTAAAACTGCTAGAGACAATATTCAAGACGCTGAGGGGAAACCTTGACAGAAATACGTAAGTTCCGCGTCAGCAACAAAGTTGATGAACCAAGTCAATAGAATATAATCCAAAACGTGACGAATATCATTTTAGATGTGTAAAACATAAAAATAAAATTTTACAAAAATATATCAACAACAACAACAAAAGACTTTATTGAGGACCTCTCGTCCTATAAAGGATTCGCCAATTTACAGAGTAATTGAAGAGAAGAGAACTAAGAATACAGAGAGAAACCTATAAGTAGTAGGTATAGTATAGTATTTTCTACAACAAAAATATATCAATATACAAGGTATGATCATAAATTTCGGGGAATTAGATCATAAAAGATTTATTAGATGAATATATAACGCCTTTGTTTCTTTTCTTTAAAAAATGCTTATAAAATTCTTATTATTTGAGATATTGAAAAGATATAAATATTTTCTAGTAGAGAACGAGGTCTCGTGATTATGATGATAATTTTTATTTTTCGAAAACTCTTTCAGAAAATATTTTTTGACTAATTCCCCGAACTTTTTGAACATACCTTGTATGATACATAGCTCATATCTGTTATGGAAATTCGAAACTATTATAGAGATGCGTATGAATCTTTTAAAATTTAAACAATAGAAAATTGTTTTATTTTTAAAATAATCATACGCGTCTCTATAATAGTTTCGAATTCTCATATCAATATAATATGAAAATAATTTACATAAAAAAGGACGTGTGTCAAAAGAAGAAAGGTATATACAAAGATTGTTTATAATACACTATAATGCGGCTATAATTCCCATCTCTGGACACTTTTATTTTTCCATTCGTCATTACTCTTCACAATTCATCCTTTCATTCCTAAGGATAGGAATAGTCGTTATTTCTCCTTAAAATAATTAAAATTACGATTTTTCTCGTTCTGTAAAAAAAAAAGAAGAATTTGCGGTTAAAGGTCGTTCTACAACATTATACAAAACAAGTCGGTTGACGGGGACCAAATGTCGAGGTAATCCTGAAACAAATTGAGGGGTTTATTGGCCAGCGTGGGATTTGGATCGTCCATTAATCTCAATGTCTAGGCGCTGATTGGGGTTTAAAGCGGAGTGGGCAGGCAGACGAATAGTTTCGATCGTCTGCCTGAATTCTTTTATTGGTGACAGATTAACCTTGTTCGTTTGATTCCATGTACTATTTTCCTTCTATCGACTTTTTTTTTATTGGAGAAAATCGTTTCTGATTTTTTTGAGATATCGTTTTCTATTATTAGAATGTTTTTTTTATTATTATTATCGAAGATTGAAAATATCATGTTTATATACACTCAGTTATTTTCATATCAAAGATAAAGAGATTCCTTTAATAATATTTTAGAAATGAGATTTATTTGCATAATCTACCTATGTGTATATGATTGTTTATATAAAATGATTTACATAATTCAAAGATTCTCATTTATAATAAAGAGATAATTTCTCAGATACACAGTTAGGTTGTCGGATCTTCTTTCAATTGGACAAGAAACTGTTGGTTTCATTTTGGAAACACCAGCGTGCGCATGTGTGTAGTATATACACTCGTAGACAAAACTTATGGAAGTTATATATTTTGATGTCGACTGTCTTTTTTTTAGACAGAGGTTGTTCACACTTGGTGATCCCGTGTTTCTTCAATAAAGGTCACTGTAATATCTTTCAGAGTTATTGTCTCAATATATATGCTAAAACTTCCTTAAGTTTTGTCCATGAGTGTAGATATATAATATGCAACTAAGAAAATTATATTGCATATATCGATCAGATATCTCTAGAAGTAATGTCTTTTTTAAACGACAATCAATACGTTTATAAAATAAACAACCAAACGATATGGTGAATTTACCTGATAACGTTTATTTGACTTTAAATCCTGAATGTTTTGTCCCCGAAACGTTGAAGTAAATAAAAGATCCCCCTGACCTCCACCTATCGCCGGCCAAGAGTCATCCATCGTAAACAGAGAGTTAATAGAGCCAAAGAAACTCCCGCTGGGGGTTTATATATATAAAAAAGTTCAGTACAGGATTAACAACCATATTTAAAATTAATTTATAAAATGAAAAGGATATTTAAAAAATCCTCCAATGCTATAAGCAGCAATATATATACAAAAGATTAAAAAGAGGGGAGAGGAGTCATGTTTTTAAAGCCTCGTAACGAAGAAAAAAAGGGGAATTTCCCCATAAAAAATGGGGAAATTTGGAATTATTCAGTTAAGGGAAAAACTAAGGGAAATCAGAATTTTTTTCGGAGGAATTTAAAACTTTTATTTGATTGATTTAGAAGATAAATTCTTGTTTGTGTTTATAAAACTGTTATGTATCTGATTTTAACAAAGCTTTCGTACTTAGGTTCCTTCTCATAGATTTTGATTTAACTCACATATCTTCCTTAATTGAGGATTTGGATATTCGACGTATATAATTCAATTTCTTTACAAATTAATAAATCTCCCATAGATTCTTTGAAATTTATAGAATATTTCGTCTTTTGGTCAGAAATGGGAAAGGTATATGCAAAAAGGGGTAAACATAGATTGTGCAAAAAAACTACGTCATTATTGTACTTATGACGATATTGACGTGTGTGTGTGTTTCGTTTATAAATATAAATGTTCAACGCTTTTATATAATGTTCAATTTTTTATTTATTCTGAGGTGGTAAAAATATTTTTGTCGAAACGTCAAAAAAAAAAAAAACACTTCAGATCGAAATTGTCTGTTAGTTTAAGAACTATGAATGCCGCCGGCCAGGCAACTCTATCTTAGAAATTGAGAATATTTATATTTAATTGGGGCTCAGTGCAATCTACATTTACTGTCCTCTACTGACCGGCTACCAAGGGTATAAGGAATACCACATCTCAACAGACCCTAGTACAAGTTATGTACACAGAGGACAGTGTCGGAGCATCATTTATACCAACCAGAAATTTGAATAATAACCACCTTGTTTTACACATATACTCACGGAAAAAACTTAAGTGAAGGGTCTTTGATGTCGTCGGGCGTTTTTTTTTTTTTTTTTTAAGGAGACAGTGGCACACTTGGTTATCTCGTGTATCTTCAACAAAGGTCACTGTAATAACTTTCAGAGTTATTGTCCCGATATACATGCTGAAAGTTACAACGTCCTTTTGTCTCCATGAGCTAAATTTGGTCTCTACTTCGGGGTGGCCTAGAGGCTCTGTTTTGATTTAAAGGCTCCTCAGTGACTTGGCCTGACATGACAGAGTCTTTGATAATAAACCACTACCGTTAGAAACTGGGTTTGGTTATATTTTAAAGCTCTGATCTCTTGTGGGGGGGATCTTGTATATATCTATAAAATTATTTTGTCCAATATTTGTATATAATACAAAGTTCTCCAATAACTGAATATTGTGTGTCTCGTCCGTAACAACCCCCTCAGCAGTTTCGCCAGTTCAACCAACCAGCCATATTTACATACTCCCAAACATTCCGAAATGGAGACTAAATCCATTCAATTTGCATCCATGGATGTTCCAACACATCTCTGGCAATAGGGGTTCTTTTC